GCATACAAAATGCCATATAAACATTCTTTGCTTTGTACACACCCCTCCATAATACAGGCCTCCTTTGTGGCAGCACACAGCCTTGGGTATGACGTCCGCTCTCATTATCCGGCATCCCCCTATTAGTATCCCTATTTTTACTACCATTTCCCCTAATTTGAATAGAGTCCAGAAAAACGTAACAACGCTTGAAATGCGAGAAGCAATGAAGCTGGACGGCCGCGCTAGCTCCTGCCGCGAAAGCAAAGAGGTACATCTTGTGACCTCAACACACATACACCACGTACGTACACGTACACACGGTCGATGACCTGCATAGGTGCGTTCGCTGGTGACCATTATGTGTTTACCTTAGCAGATGGCGACCGTATCGCTCAGATTCACGTCGAGGCCACGCAGTTGCTTAACTCGGTTGCCAGACAGCTTCAGCATCAGGTGAGTTTGTGCCTTTTCACCGTATTAACCCTTTAATAATTCATCAGATTACGCTCTTTCGACGCATTACGTGCACTAACACATTCGTTTCTATCTAACACCTCAGCACACGCAGTTATCAGATTCCTGTATCCAGTCAAGTGCTGCTGATGAATAGTCAAGTCATTTGTCGCAAGAAGATGGTAGAAGATAGGTACAAGACAAAGGGTCGGCAGAAGAATCACTGACTTTTTGTGGTACTCTTTTGTTCGTCTGCTTGCAATAGTTCGATCAGGCAACGGTGAAAATGACGACCTAGTGGAGATCACGTCTGCTCCCTCCACTGCACCAGCTTTTGCTATCGCAGCGAGCATCACATCTCATCCGGGCATGAAGATGCACGAGATTCCGGTACGATATCGTACTCTCTTTCGCGCGGTGTAAGACGTAGTCGACCTTATTGTGCATCTATTTTTGGCATTGAAGGCGTTTGTTCTGGTGGCTGAGAACTTGACAATGTTTTTTGTCCCTTTAATAGACCACGGCCCTGGTCGTTCACATTGTAGACAGCGTCTGGATTATGAACAGCTTCAGTTTGCAACAAAACATGCTCGAATGCACTTGGATCGCGGCGAGTAGAGACGTTGTCTTTTCCGCGACGCCTTCGAGCGCCAATTGGACGACCGCGACCCTGCCGTACTGGTAGAGGTTCATTCACCTCTACCAATACTTCCTCTTGTGATAATAAAATAATACGAATCCAAGAGAATGCGCTGTTGTTGTGGTGGAAGCTGAGAATAGCGATCTCGAACTCGAGACAGGGCTTGGTCCAGAGTAAGATCGGTAGTATCCTCGTGACAGGTGTTCTCGTTGCGATCAAGCCACCACTGAACATAAAAATCTTCCTGTTGAAATCTCTCACGCGTTGCTAAGATGTCGCGAACGCGATGCGAACATGGGATTCCAAGTGTTGATGTAAAGATATTAGTACATGAAGTTGAAGGCGAGATACGTGCCTTCTTTACCTCTTCATGAGCCTTCTTTAGTGCGTGATGTTCGTCGAACATCAGCCCAAATATCACCCGAGAGAGCGATAAGCGTATGTGCGCGGCTATAGGCAATGCTGTGCCGAATGACCTTGTCCTGATGATCAACGGCAAGCAATATTCTGATAAACATCTGCAAGATCGCCCGTCGACACTGCTATCCGTGATTTGACTGCTCCATGCTGTCCCTCGGCTCAATTACTTGCTGAGTTTCCAAGATGCCGGTACGCTTTGTTCCATGCAAGGATAAACCGATCTTGATAACATAGCCAAGTCCTTTTAATGTATTTGCTGACGGAAATAGGATAGCGTTTGCAGATGCCAGCCCAATTTGTCTTGTATGATGAAACATCGATGGAATAACACAGCTGTTTGAATTTAGCCTCGAACGTTTCCTAATCTTGTTGATTTTGATGGTGCTTGCGGCAGTTGGCAAGTACATTCTTTGAAATATGCCAGATACAAAGCAGATTGTGCGCTTAAGAAAAGCGCGTACGAAGCGCAGCCATTAACGCAAGTTCCCGATCCGTGATAACTACATGAGGTAGTTGATCGGCGATACAAATGATTTTTACATGATCGAGAGCCCAGTTGTAGTATTTTTCTCGATCGGACGAACGAAATGTGAACGCGACCGAAAAGCTGTCATTACTTAAGACACTCCGACTATGTGTAGCCTTGGCATCTTGAATCTAATAAGAAGAGAAAAACGGTCAATGCTGATAAATCAGGTCATCTTGAAATCCGATGCGATTAATACGTACTTATTGACCTTGTATGTACAATCCATGATCATGACATGAGGAAATTCTCGTGCAAGTCGGACGAATACGCTTGGTGCAAAGAAAAGCTTGGTAATTCGACCTTAGTCGTCGCGGGTGGTAAGCATGGAGAATGTTATTTGCCTGAAGTTCATCCAGCAGCATCTCCATAGGTGTTCTTCCAGCAAGGTGTTTTTCCCGGACCACCGCCTTTGCGTTGTATATGTCCCTTGGAATGAGATTGCAGTTTGGATCGCTTTGAAGAACTGTAGCCAAGATGACCTTGGGTGCTGCACCTGATCTTGTCATGGCACTGATCGCCGTGGCGTTGTGAAGACTAATTTTTCGTGCGGCGGGATAGGCAGATACATCATCTGCTGCTTCGTGGTTGTGTTCGCTGTTTCTAACAGCCAAAGACCACTGGAAAAATGCCACAGAATCACAATCGCTGCAATTAAATGTATGGTCATTGTCATCATCATTGCATACTGTTTCCCTTGTAATTGTCACGGTAAATGGATACTTGCAGCTTCGTGTTGAGCTGCGACGCTTTCGCGACTCATCTGTGAGGTATTCCCGTCGGTTCTTGTAACGACCAGCATGAGCACAAACCAACCAGACTTTCCTGATCTCACCCGAGCGGCACTTTTTAGAGCGACTTCTGGATAAGGTGTAACCTTCACTTATCGCATGAGAAAGTACAATCTTTTCCGCGCCCTCCAGCGACGCGTAGACAGCCTCCGCAGGCGGTGCAAGCATAGTCGATTGATCCTTTCGGTATTTCGATATCGTAAATATAGTCACCCCCTGCACCGGATAAAAGATCGCAGTGCTGTCTAGATATCAGAAATTGATACCTTTGTATCTTGTGCATTTACGGTCATCATTATGGCAATTGATACCTTTAGACTGTTTAATTGGGAAGGTACATGTCCCCCATTGACAGTTATTCTTGCAGTATGAGTCAGATGTATGCATATTACATAACCTAAATATTATAATCATCTATAAGTTAGGAGAAATGGTAGTAAAAATAGGGATACTTATAGGGGGATGCCGGATAATGAGAGCGGATCCATACGCAAGGCTGTGTGCTGTCACAAAAGAGGCCTGTATTATGGAGGTGTGTGCACAAAGCAAAGAATGTTTATATGGCATTTTGTATTGATAAGTGTGCAGTAACTAGCTAGGAAGGTTACGGTACTTAAGAAGGGGCCTCTATTTCAGGGGGGTACGCATCAATGGGTGGGTGTGTACCTATAAATCTCCAAAAATTAATGATCTTTAAACATGGGAAATGGCAGTATTATGGGTACTCATATGGGGTGTACCGGATAATGAGAGCGGATTTCATACGCAAAGCTGTGTGCTGCCAAAAAAGAGGCCTGTATTACGGAGGAGTGTGTACAAAGCAAAGAATGTTTATATGGCATTTTGTATTGAAAAGTGTGCGGTGCCTAGTTAGGAAGGTTACGGTACGTAAGGAGGGGCCCCTATTACAGGTGGGTGTGTACCTATAAATCTCCTGTATACAATATAAGTTCGTTATGTTCTGTCAAACCAAACGAAGTTTATGACAGCTTATTCGACGCCTACACCTCAGTTGTCTTCAACGTGGTGGTCGTAGTAGTAGTCGCGTTCTTTGGGCTCTGCGCCGTGATGCTCGTCGAGTTCGACTTGACATGGTTGTTGTCAACAACAGTGGTGGACATCTCTTCATTGACGAGTCCGCTACTCGAGAAGGCGGTGATGTTGTCTAAAGACGTGGCAATGTGTCAGGTATGCGTGCAACGTCTGTATGTACGACTTACATGTGTATGTCAATTTGCGAGTACTTATAGCTGCAAAACGAGACGATTCAGTAGAGGAACGGTGGGAGCTGGTGGCCGTTTAGTATGTTGGCATTGGGCACAAAAGGGCCAAAATTGTACATTTTACTCACTTGCTGCGATTGTATGTTTCACTTGCTGCCGTTTCGCCTGTCCCGGCGTTTATAAGCCGTGCTGAAGTGGCATCCTACGTAGCGATAGATCAAGTCACTGTCTGCGACAACGTATCGAAGTAGTCGAAGTGTCTCGTGGTCCCTTTGTGGCGTAATCATCGAGACGTACTTGCAAGTATGGCTGCACATCGCAATGGTACTATCGCATATGGATTCACGCCTTTTCATCGATCAGTCGCATGAACAACTCCACGAACGATGCAAATGGGATCTAAAGGCCGAATCACAATGCCTGACCGAGAAACGTCCCAGTGCGAGAGCTCGATCTGCTTGAATAGATGTGGAGCACAAAGTTCAAAGGGAAGAAGAAGAAGTGCAAGTGACATGTGTCCACCGAGATACGTAGCGCGAGCATTGCACAAAGCATCATGTTGCGTCACACTTGGCCTTAGCTTAAATAGGAGCGGGCCACATGCTCGTCGTATACAACTATCGCCAGCGGTCCTTGTATCCTCCAGTATAGGCGCGTTTCAAAAATGCACAGCCTCGCCAAAAACCAGGCACCACAGTCTTAGCAGTTCCCACGCCCTTGCCATAATCCGTCTGCGAACGTAATCATACGATCCCTTGTCAAAACAGGCGCTCCCTTCTCCCGTAATCCGTCCGCGGACGTAACCCTACGGTCCCTTGTCAAAACAAGCGCTCTCATCTCTGCCGTAATCCGTCCGCGGACGTAATCCTGCGGTCCCTTGTCGTCGACACACACGCACGCTGAGGAACTTCTTTCGTCATACCTCTGCGTCAAAACTGCTGGTGTCTACACATTTGCCACTCGTTTTACCAAGCCGCTTCCTGCTTGAGCACGACATTAAGCGCAGCGGGGTTGTTCTTTGCGCTGATGGCACCGTTCATGAGCTTGTTTTCCACATTGCGCTGCCGCTGACTCCACAATCCACGGTAGTAAGGCGCCACCAGTTCAGCCAGTCCAGGTATCTGTTGCCGACTTTGCTCCGCCGATACACCACACAGCTGGGGCATCAGGTACGAGCAGAGTTTCAAAATACTCGACTGTTCACCGTTAGACGTCCGCACTGCCTCCAATTGTCCCCACCCACAGTCCCGGATCTCCAGTCCCTTAGCACTGCAGCTCATAAATGGCAGGCGATCAGGACACTCTGCTACCGATTCCCACACAAACACAACCCGACCAGAGACTTCATCGACAGCACGTCGCATTACGCATCGGACGATGAGTTCAACTTCAGGCGCTCGATGCTGTCGAAGCGGCATGCGGCTTTTAAAGTAGAGCGTATCGCACGTAGCACCTTCCACGACGGTGGCTTCGGACTCGACTTTCATCGACTGCCACACTGCAGCTGCGCATGCCCGCACGTCAAACGGCAAGATCTTAGCGTCCTTCACCTCCATCACGGGTCCCCGACGCTCGTCCAAGATCATTTGAGCTTCCTGTACTTCCTGTTTCTCCCGCGTCAGCCCTCCCTTCTCAAACACTGCGTCCAGTTCAGCCAACCTGGCTTCCAAGCCAGACGCCAACGACGCGTACACAGCCGATTCTTGCGTCTCGCTCGTACAAAGCCGCTTGACGCCAAGCACCGCAGCCTGCGTCTCAGCATCTGATCCAGAGCTCATGGACGACTTGCATCGTTTTCGCAGCAGCTTCTCGAGGCCTTTGGAAATCTTGAGCTGCTCTTGAATCAGTCCCTTTAGCCGCAGGTTTTCCATCTCGGCTTTGCTTTTCTCCTCCTTTTGGTGCTGCGCCATGCGTTCCCACACAGGCACAACCAACAGGCGCGAAAAACCAGGAGCGGACTCACGAGCAGAGTCCACAAACGACCCTGAAGTAGCTGCAGCAGCAGTCAAAGCACCCGCGACCGACGACGACTGCAACGACTGCCCTCTCTCTCGTCGCTCTTCAGCAGCGCGTAACATCATCGCACACGACTGTCGTGGCATCCGAAGCCGCACGTGTTCGAGCTCGCGCTGGAGCTCCTGAACCTGCGCGCGCAGTCGCGTGAGTTCGTCTTTCTGTCGCTTCCGCGAGTTGTTCGCCACTTTACACAGCGTCGCGGGTCGACCGCGTTTCGGTCCGCTCGAAACCGCTACAGGCCCACCACCACCAACAGTAGCAGTAGCAGCAGAGCTACCACTAGTGACTGGAGCAGCGGGCGGGGGGACCGCCAGTGGACGAGCGGCTGGCGACAGACCGATTGGACTCCCGCTGCCGGACGTCGTCGGCGTTTGCGCTGCAAATGCACTCGTGGACAGAGGCACTGGATGGCCGCTGCGGCGCGACGGGATCAGCAGCTTGGGCAGCGACGGGAGCCACGAGCTGCTCGACACAGAGCTCGAGCTGCTCGAGCTGTGGCTGCCAGTCGGCTGTCGCAGCGACGGCAGCGGCCGCCCTGTCGTCGCGCTGCGGCCGTGGCCCGCGAGTAACTTGACAATGGTATGGGCCGTGACGTTCCGGCGGTCCTTGTCGTCGCCCTTGTCGTCGTCTTGAGGGAACGCTGCGCGGGGCATAAAGGGACTGCAAGTGCTGCTGCGCCTTTGGCTGTGGCTGTCGTCACGAGCGTACGGTGTGCGGGGCAGCGCAGCGTGACGGGCGGTCGAGTGCGTCAGCTGATGGGGCGACAGCGACGTCGGACAGTCACGACTGCTACTGCTACTACTGCTATTGCTACTACTGCTCCAGCTACTGCTGGTGCTACTTCTGGACGAGCCGACCGCAGTCGATGCGTCGTGTGGAGACAGCGTCTGTTCACGTGCGAGGAGGTGCATGAGGCGGTCAGAGTCCGTCCGAGAACCGGCCAGAGATGAAGAAGAAGAGAGAAAGGTGGACAACACAAGAGGTACAGTGGGGACCGCACACGCAGATTGGCTGCCGAATTGGCTGTCTGGCTGTCTCGTCTTCACTTGTCGTCGACAAGGCAAATTAGCGAATGGTGATGATGCAGACAATTTGACAGTCTTTAGGCGAATAATCATGGCTTGTTTCTGTGCGCGCAAGGAAGCGCAACGCAGTGCGGCCCGAGGCGCGGAGATCCTGCGCTGGTCGATATCGAGTTCGAAAGGGGTGTCTGGTCGGCCGCGTAATCCGCCGATGTCTGCGCGGGCCAAGAAAAAACAACCACTGGCGCGCGAGAGGCGCATTTGACTTGAGTAAAGGATCCAGTTACGCACCATGCGCGTTTTTTCTGCCACCAGGTCGGTTGGCGACAGTCTTTCGATGACTCGAGCTTAGAAAGGGCCATAGAGTGGGACGACCCACTGCCGTCGAGAGAGGGAGAGCAGCAGACAAACCGCGTGACTGGCGTAGACGCCACGTCGTGACGAAATGATTGCCGCATGGGGTCGGTCGCGACTTGAATGGCCACGTTGGTCGATCCAGAGAGCAGAACGCAGCCGCGCGTGCGACTAAACGTGGGGACGAGAGCGACTGTTGCGACTTTTTTTCCACCACTCGCAAAGCTGGTGACCCGAGTGCGGGTATAGAGCCCGTCCCATGGCCAGTGATTGGTAAGCCAAATGCATTGCTGTCGTCGAGGCGATCGAGGGGACTCGGCGCTGATGACGACGGGCCTTTGCTTACGCGTTGGCGGTCCCGTGCGACTACTGCCCCTGCGGGAAAATCCACACACACACACAGAATCCGCTTGACGAGCCACAGAACGACAAACAAAGTCACACTAAGTCTGACAATGGGAATGGCTCGTATTGTTGCTCACGTTCTTGTTGTTGTTCTTTTATGGACAAAACAGGTGGCGAGAGGCGCTTAGACTCATCTGCTGCATACCGATAGAAATCAGATGCGTCGTGTCTTTACATCGCAACTTGGACGAGTGCGTGGGCACGACAAACTGTCGTCCATCGCGCCTTTTCTTCGAAGTGAGGAGACCCCATGTTTACTGCGCTCGAGACCCCTCGGGACGTCTGCGCCAACTGCTGTGGCTCCTCGCTTGGGGTTTACGCCAGCAACGAGGCGGGCAATTGTAAAAGAAGAATACGCGACGCACCGCACGCGGGCACAGACGTGTTGACTGAAGGGCTGACCCAGTCGTGAGTCTGGGGGCCACGTGTGCAGAAGTTGTGCACAGAGTGGACGGCCGCCATGGCATATGGAGTCGTTCGAGTGGATCGAAAGAGGCTGCCACTACCACTGGCAACTAAACTGGAGGCGTGACAGCAGTGAGTATGAACTCCGCTTCGCTCTCGAGCGCATAACGAGAACGCTGGCGCATTGATTCAACATCGCTTTGCCCCGTGGATCGGCAGCGTTCGTTGATGCGTCAATCGACACGATATTGGCCGCAACGTCCCTCGGCAGTCTCCGTAGCGCTGCGTTAGGCTCACAATCGAGTGGGATCGATCGTTCCACAGATAGCCAGTCTCGCGCCGATGACACTGATGAGCAACTTTGACCAATTCATCAGCGCGATTGATTAGGAATGTCGCGGAAGGCGATTCCACGCTGGTGGCCGGTTCGAAGTTAAGTGGTGACAGATGCGTCAGTGGGACTCGCACGTGGACAGCAGTGCAGCACCTCACAACTCGTCTCGAAAACGCGTTCATGCGCTGCTCGAAGCCATACCACGCGACGATCGCTCTCTCCCAGGCCTTTCTTTGCAGGATCACACAGGCTATCAAGCTGTCCTACCACTTGACCGCTGGGCGACGTGCTCACAACAGCGCACGTACCAAGTGCCGACACGTTTATGCGATGTAGGATTTCCGAAATTTTCGCAGCCAGATTGACGTCAAACCACGTCTCAGTATCTCGTTACGGACTCTTTCTTTCAATGGTCCCGCGGGCGGCAGATTTGGGGAAGATATGACAGGCGGGGACGGCCCCGCGCCATGCTCTATCGTTTGGCGGTACACAAGCGGTAATGAAGGGACATAGACCGCTTTCAGGTAGACGAGCGAGCTGCCCTAGCGGCGCAAAGGGATACAAACAAAGGTACAGGCCAAAGGGAATGCATCCACTGCTGTGGCCAATGTGAGAGTAATCGTAGCTACGCAAGACGGGGCTGTGAGGCCCACTGACTTTAGACACAGAGCACCTCTCTCTCGTCGATGACTGCCATCATGTCTATTGTTGCCTGATCAATCGTAATCCGCTCGTATCCCGATGCATGTTTTGTAGACGGCAATGTGTAGCTGGCAAAAACACCGCATTGCTATACCAGTTGCATAGCGACCGAAGCGATAGGAGACATCATGAGTCATGATGTCTGCCACTAGATTGATGATCAAAGCGCCTTAGGGGCGACAGGAAAGAGCTGTAATGTTGTTTTGTACTCTGTCGGCCTCTTCTTTTGCCGTTTGATTACGCCCGTCATCATCGTATCGTCAAAAATGACGATGGAAAGATACCGCGCCCATCAAGTATAGAAAACGACCTGCGGAGCAGCAGTGCCTACTTAAGTACTGAAGGCAGCTTACAGCGACACCCCTTTCCAAACCTCGTCGGTATTCCCCTTGCGGCAGGTGACGCATATGGCCGCGACCGCAAACTTCAGGAATGGCCTACGTCTGATGCTGTCGCACCTTCAACAACGAAAACATGGGGAGGGGACAGGATCCATATTTCCCAAAATGTACGGGGCTTTAAGGCCAGCGTAAGGGACGGTTGGTTGACGGCGTAGAGAGGGATGCCTCGGAGTCGTCGCCCACTGGTTTTGTGTATACAAGAGACGCATGTGCACACGGAAGCGGAGGCAAAAATGCTGAGGTATCGCTGGGCCCGATTGTGGGGCCAATTCCTTGATCCCGAAGCACCTCCTCTCTCGTTTTGGAGCATTGGCTCTTCCAGTCAAGACGGTGTGGCCATTCTACTCACCCCATCTTCTGCCCGCACAGCTTCAGCCTCGCAATCGGATCGCTGGTCTCCTCGGGCATTAGCAATATTGATGGGAGAGGTCGTTCCTATGAATGTATACGCTCCCACACTGCGGGTTGAGATAGAAGCTTTCTTTGCTTCTCTGCTTCGCTGGAAGTTGGACGCATCCAATACTATACTTGCGGGAGACTTTAATTGCGTCCAGAGCCCTCTTCTTCATCGGTTCGGCAGTCACCGCTCTCATCGGTCGGAAAGCCCAGCCCTAGACGCTGTAGTTGCGACACTGAGCTTGACAAGAGAGCTTCGGGAGCATGCAGATGACGAAGGTATTGGAGATCCTACTGACCATTTTACAAACTGGAACGGAGACCGCGCCAGCCGCATTGATCGTTTCTATGTTCCCACAGGCTGAATTGATCGTATTTTGTGGGTTGGATCGCTTGTGCCATCACATTAGTCGGATCATCAGGAGATTTATTCTATATACCAATGAAAATGATGGAAAAAATAAACCCTATATCACCACCACAACGTCAAACACTTTTATTAAAAAATAACTTAACTTGCATTTTTAAACTAAAGACGCACAAATTTCGAATTTAATTTTGCCTGGATTAACTTTTTTTAAATATGGTAGTGACGAAACTTAAAGAACTTTCATTTGACGATTTGTAAAATGATTAGTAATAAGGGTACTAATGACGAGTGAAAATGGAAATTAAGGTTCATAATTCGAAAAAAATATGAAAAATTATGAAGGTTGTGGTACACTTGCGGGACCCAATAAACGCTCGTTTGTCTAGCCGAAATGGTTAGGTGGCGTACCCGATCACTTTATCGAAACCGAGTAGAGTAATTGACGAAATCGTCGCGGAAATGGACGGCATGGCTATTGAGCAGAGTGTTTCTACCTTTTCTTGGGATCTTGCTGTTGACAAGTGTAAACAATGCGTTCGATGCATCCGGAAGCGGGTCAAGCAGCGCCAAGCGACATTCCGTAGCAAGCTGTAAGACAGAGTTCAACGACCCTTAATTACCCGGGCACAATTCATCTCTTGCAATATGGAAAAATTACGGCAAGAACATCTGGTGAGACTCGGTACCTAGCTCGCCCGGACGGCTAAGCAATTACGATGGCTTTATAGTCGAGTTGCCGTTAAGGAACGCAATTACACGATCACAACAATATTACGCTTTCAGGGATCGTGCTTTACCCGGAAAATGACTATTGCAGACAAATTTGCATTCGAATGGACTACAGTTCTTGGAGTCATTCCATCGCAAGGAGCCTCGTGAGACCTTGCCCTCCGCTATTACGAGTTTTGTCCATCTTCCCGTAAACCAAGTATTGTCGCATGCGGACAATCAGGCTCATTTGGTTAAGGTCACGGAAGCCGAAGTCCTCGCCGCCATTTCTGCCCTCTGTCGACATAAATCTGCTGGACTGGACGATATATATAATGACTTTCACAAGGATACGTCGGCGCTTCTTGTCCCAGCTCTGGCCCAGCTCAGCAATCACATTTTGATGTGAGCAGAACCACAGCCTTATTTTATCGCAGCTTTGATCATTCCATTACTTAAGAAAGGTGACTCAGCGGATGCGATGGATTACTGGCCGATTTTCTTTTTCAAACCTGTTACAAAATTTTCGCGAAGGTACTGACGACACGGTTGCAAC